AGACTTTCCCTCTCGAGCAGCCTGCCTCCAGCACCCCGGCGGCGCCAGCAGTCCCCGAGAAAACGACAACTGCTACGACGACGAACACGGCAACGGGGACACCGGCATCAAAAGCTGCTTCGTCTCCCCCCAGGTCATCAACGGCAATATCCGACTTCGCCGACCTCGGCACCAGTGCCCGTCGCGCCCAGTCTCAAGCCCGCAAACTGATCAAACGCAACCCTTCTGCGCCCAAGCCCAAGCTAGCACCCAAGCCAAATGCAGCCCAGCCATCCAGGTCCATGTCCCTGGCCGGGGCTCCGCCAATGCCAACCTCCGCTCCGCCGTCTCCCCCGCCTCTCCCGCGCGCAATGTCAATTCACATCCCCCCGCGCTCAGGTTCGGCAGCAGGAGCAGCAAAGCCAACAAAAACAGCCAACAAATCAAAGAAGCTGCGTCTCGCCTCCCTGTGGTCCGATTTGTTCCGTCTGAGAGTTTCAAGCTGATTTTCTCCTTTTTCTTTTTTCCTGTTTTTTTTTTTTTCCACCGGCGAACAGCCTCACTTATACCAGTGCAAAGCACATATTGCATTTCCATTCTCAAGCTCGGGTCGATATCCATCCCCGTTACTTACCGCTTATCTGACTTACTTGACATCTCGGCCTGATCTTTCTGCTCGATGCGTTAGTTATTTTGTGCCTTTCTTCTGCTTTGCTTTTGCGCCTGCGTTCCCACTCGTTACTATATCTATCTACTTACTTACCGCCCGTCTTATTCCCACGGGTCTGGGAAATTGACATTTTATCTATCTTGGCTTAGTTCATACTGGCTTTGGTTCTCGTCTATATGATTAATGTGTGTGGGTGTGAATTAGTGGTTTCCTTTATAGCATTGGTTCTTCTTGGTGATAACGGTGCCTTTTCTCGAGGACCTGTTGAATATTTTTTTTTTTTTTTTTTTTGAATCTGGTTAAATAAATATCGCCGTAGGAATAAAAATGGATGGTTTCGGTTTTCAACGTTTGTACTTTGTATTGGAAGCTGTTATCAGACTTCCACATTGGCTTCCGCATAGTATGTATCACTTCATTGAGTGTGGCAATGTACTTGCATCTGTATAGAACGTATCTATCAACATCAACCCCCACGCCACGTCTAACGTCAGATGCCATTGACACAATCCATGACATTCCATGAAGCATCCTACGTCTGCAAACTCCCGACATACCCCAGACTTTTGCCAGGGCTAACATCGCCTCCAGCCAACGTTGAAACGATGTGTCAAAACGCATGAGCTTTTACACTCTCATCCCTCGCCGCAATCTCCATCTGATATCCATCGATCAGCGGCAATCCGCCATGTTACCTGCCATACTTCAATCCGTGCAGGATGACAGGCAGAAACGCCCTGGAATGTGAAGAACTATATCCTTCTTCCAACTTTCCCGCTCCATCCCGGCCGAGATATTACCGAGAGCCACATCAAGCGGACCAGAAGATGCGGTTTTCTTCTCTCTCTCTCTCTCTCTCGTCTTCGTCTTCTTTGCGATGATATACAGATTTGATATTGCTGTCATATGTCTTGATATGCATGCATTACGACGTCATCCTCGGCTATCTGTGCGATAGTTATACAGCGGTGAACGGCGTATGCATGTACATTACATCGACGTGACAGATCGATGGAGTATCAAGCAGTATCTACGATGGTGCAGAGATGACACCCCCTACGCCCCTTGATTCTCCCCCCCCCCCTTACCACCCCCACGGAAAAAGAATATCGGTGAACCTGGCGATTGCTGTCATGTGGGTGGACGTGAATGTGCCATCTGTAGCAGCGAGCGGTACGCTGCATGCTTGTGTCAAACGCGCCGAGCAAGGGTGACATTTCTTCTCCCCCCCCCCACCAGAAGATTTCAGTGCAGGTATTAGCAGCGGCAAAGCGCTGTTTGTCGTCTACGCCGTCCAGACCGTGTTTGCAGAGACGGTGAAGCAAAAGTGTCTTTTGTATAGTGCGCGTCTGCAGCTTCCACATCCATCTCGAGATAAGAAGAAGGCCTTTCTAAGAGTTTAGTTAGCCTGGCCATCAAAAGATAAGGGAAAGCGACAGGGCTGAAGCCAACGAGCCACATCTCCAAGCAGATCGGAGGCCCTACCCGAAAGGAGAGGCCCTACGTCGAGTTGGCGTCTCTTGACTAGCGCACGCAATGAAGAGGGCGTTGGCCTGTTATTGGACGGCACTCCCTGTCTACTCGGTAGGTAATCAGCGCCTCAGGCACGTATACTTATATATACATGGTAATGCTTGAGATGGAGTACTTTGAGAGAAGGGTTGGACTCCAGATTCAATTCTGCCTTGATACCCCCAAGGAGCCGCCTGATTGCTCACATTCTTTATTTTTTATTTTTATTTTTTTTCCTTCGGTCCCCCAGGCATGAAACGCAGCAGTCTGATGAAGCGAACAGTTGGCTGGCTGGAGTGAGAATCCAAACCAAACTAACCATAAAATGTATTATATATATGCGGTTCAGGGCAGAGCGGGATGGTGGGAACGACCCACCCGCTGCTGCAAGATCAGTTTCTACCCCGTTATCCCACCCCCTATTTCCAGTCCGTCTACCGAGTACGGGAGTAAGGGATAGTATTTTTTGATACTTATACGCCGTGAAGGATAGCAAGTCGTATACCTTCCCTATCGGGGCAGAAGCCCTTTGCCTATAACCACCGTCGTTATAACTACGGGTTACCGCAAACGGCGTATTCGGACAAGGCCTGCGGAGTGTTATCTGCCTCCTTTCCGTTAGTGTACGATCAATCCCGCGCCCAAGACCCTTGAAAGAGAGACTCTTTTTTGCCTTAATCTAACAGCAGAGCCAATCTGCGACCTGAACAAGCATGAAACGGAAAAAGGGACCCATTAATATAATATGCGGTTCATTCAACCTTAATGCTCTTTATGTCGCGGCCTCTTCCTTTTGGGCTTGGGGAGATCAACTTTCAGAGAACAGACACGGGAAGAACGGGCTCCAGTCACCCACAAAGCAAGCCTGGCAATCACAGTGGATAATCGAATCCTGAATCGCTCTCTGATCTGTTCCTTGATACTGCATTTTTCTTGGTAGAATAAGCATGAATTCTACCAACCACCCCCATTTATTCGTTGGTTTAAACGAATCCATCCCGAAAATCACTTTATATCATTAATGATCTATAAAAAAAAAATCCTTCCTCTATCCCTGTTCGTTTCCTATTCGAGTTCTATGCATAAAAGAACGAAGCTTGAAAGTCCGGACCGGAATCCGGAGATGGCCATCTCTCGATTCCCTTTGGCGGGTGCTCGGTCCCTGGCCTTGGAATGGGAATTAAAAAAAAAAAAATTTCTCAAAGGAAGAGAAAAAAGCAAAGAAAGGCGCAAACAAAAAAATCCGGAAGAAAGTTCTTCTAGAAACTCGCCTAGAAGGCACTTTAAGCATCATTGCGGGTCTTCCAACTCGTTTCGATTCCCTGTTTTTCAGATGGTGGAAGGGCCTTAGTGCCTTGGATCCGTCGTCTTTTTGCCGTTCACCAAGACAGATGGAAGGATATGTATCATTTTGCGGATCGAAGATAAATGAAGGAGGGTAGCAAAGTTTGGCAGACCGGTACTTACTTATACGCGAGAGAGAGAGAAAAAGTGATTCGGATGCTGTGTATGTACGTATATGCTGCGATGTGTTGGTATGAAAAGGGGTTAACGTTACTTTGGTGAGGCAGCCTCGGCAAGGAGGAAAGAATAGTTAAGTTATGCCCAAATAAACCAAAACACCGGGCCGGAACGGCATTTCCACCACATCCATTACATATATATTTAGAATAATCACGCGATGTAGATGTTTAAGGCTACGAGTTGCCGGAGTCGGCGGGCGGATGAACTGGTCTATTGTTTTTTTTTTTTTTTTTAACCTATTAATTTTATTTATTTATTCGTTCGCGCGTGTTCTTATGATGTTGCTTGTGAGACGGGCGCCTTGTATTTTGAAGAAAGCCGAATTGCGAGACACAAAGGGGACGCCCTATCGGGCTTTCTGGCTATGAGGCTGTTGGGATGAAAATAAATAATAGTATCCACCGGCAGAAAAGGAGATGCGGATTGGGCTGTTGGTGAAAGATGAGCAGGAATGAAAAAAAAAGGGGAAGAGTATAGCAGTTAGGAGTGGAAAACGAAATATACAGAGGAAAAAGGAAGCAGGAAAAGGGAAAATAAATAAAAGAAAAAGGAAACATGGGATAAATTGATTTCCCACTCGCTGTTAATTGGATTATATTGGTTCTTGGAGTTTCCGGAACGTTGGTTAAGTTCGTTTTATGTGCCTGGGGGAGTTCGTTTGTTTTTCTTATTCTTATTTTTCCCTACAAAAATTTTATAAGTTTCTCATCTTGGTGCCTCAGCATAACGACTGGACGGTGCTTGTTCTTTTATTCGCCTTGCTGTCACACCTGATCGATCAAGTGATTGCGTTGAAATGTTGATGGAAGGGGCAAAACGTGTACTCTGTTCCCTCCCCGGTGGCAGGATAGGTTTCTTGAAGGTGAGTGAATAGGTTGCTTTGGGGGGGGAAGGCAAGGAGCCTGTTTTGACTCATGCATGAAGGATGGGCATATCATATCGCATCATGGCACATCCTATCGATAATAGGATAACTTTTCTCTTCTCCAGGTTCCACTATCTTTTCTTCTTCTTTCAAACGGGGAAACGGCAGACGGGGGGAGATAGGGGGAATGAAGTGGGTATCGCACGCCAGCAACGATATATGAGAGTGTAAGGCATGACCAAGGCTTGAGTGTTGTGGCTTGATAGTAGGTGTGGCGTCGTATATGCATGCATATATATGTACTATATATGTATATTGTACATATATCGGTCGCGTGTGTGGGTGGGTGTGTGTGTGTGTGTGTGGAAGGAAGAGGCAGAAGGTGGCTGCTGATTCCTTTCCGGGGGTCTGGTTGCGTAACGGTTCTGCACGTCTGACAGCAGAGGAATAGTAATCAGAAATTCGCAGCAGTGCGCATAAGCGAGTCTCGCATGCGCACATCATGACTTGAGTGGGGGAGGTAGGCATGTATGTATGTATATACATACTGCCGTTCAGCTAGCCTCGCAAGTCAACTGTACAGGGGCGGGGGTTGTTTCGAGGAGGCGAAGGTACCAAGCTTGATAGACGGTTGGATGGGGCCCTGGATCCCAGAGCCTTGGGACTGGTAGAGGGTTAAAGGAAGAGACTAAGAGACGTCAAAACCGTAGTTCGGAGTGGGCTGTTGGCTGGCCAGCATGATGGACATGACATGGCGAACCAGGCCCCGGGTGCAAACTGGAGGCGGCGAGGGGTATCATGAACAAACGCAGCCACGCACGCCATTCGGGTAAGGAAAATCAAAGAGCATTCTACGCCGGGGAAGAAAAAGAAGGGGGGAGGCCAGGCGTTGAACATCCGGAGTGGCGAGATGTCGAGATAAGCATGGGGTTAACATGCATAGCCTTGGGAGCGAATCAGCACTGTCCGCGGGGTTGTACTCTGAGCAAGGCGGGGGGGCTTCGGGGAGAGAAGAAACGGTCCACGACCGCCCGCGTTCCACTGTTCATCTGCCCTTTCTGGCTGCTCTTTTTTTTTTTTTCGACTCTCGAGTCCGTAAGCCGTAAAAAAGGAAAGGTAAGACATGTTTATGGGATTGCCAATGTGGTGCGATGGCCGTCTTGGCCTTGATTCCTGCACTGGCGATATTCCAGGATGGGAAGATGGCCGGGGGGGTTGGGGGAGAGGGTGAGTTATATGTCTGTCCAGATGGCCTGAAAGAATGTGCGGATGCCGCTCCTTTTCGTAGGAATGCCATGTGCCGTCCAAGCTCCCTTTATCTAAGCCACAACGCCCTGGCACAGGGTCTTGCCCCTCGCCCTCCCGCTCCCCTCCGTTCGCCGTCTTCCGTACACACACTTCCCACATCCGTTTTGTCTTTTTCTTCTCATCCTTTTCTGATGTCGAAACTCGAGAACTTCCGTGGCTGGAGCCCATGCACGCCAAGACCGGCAGAATATTTTTACTTTTAGCTTTTGGGCTTAAAATTAAAAATAGAAAAAGAAATAAAACCTTCAAGACGCGCACAGACGAAGAGGGGAGGTAAAAAAGGGACATGCAAGGGATGGGAAAGGATGGGACGAGTGCTGATCTTAGTAAGGACAAGCAGGAGGGAAGCACACTGTCGACAGGGGGTGCAGAAGAAAAATTTTCATGTGTGGGACAGAGGATAAAGATAGGGCTGCATACGGCCAATCAGCGGTGGTATGTGACGCTGGAGGATGCGAAATGCCATGTGTCCTTGGATGAAGAGTTTTTTTTTTTTTTTTTTTCGCTTCCCTCCCCCCTTACCCATCGATCTCAGTATCTCCGTGCGCTGCTCTGGCCAAACCCCGTCGACCCGTTGGATGTTGGATACCCTTTCGTTCCAGGCCCTCGCCTGGTGAGCTGGGAGCGGAACGCGAGCTCTGGCCCTTGCTTGTCTCAGGCAGAAGGGCATCCGATGTCTCGTGCTGGAAGCACGACAGTCCCAGAGCGACCAGTCTGGCCTCTCTTTCTCCCTCTCTCTGGGTGTATAGTTCCGGGGGCCGACATTGTCTGGTCTGACGTCGAAGATATTCGGTGAGCATCCAGGTACAACGAGCTATCTCCATCAGAAACGCCGTCCCTGCAAGCCACGAACTTCCTTGTCCCCCCCCCCATCATCGATCACTTCATCATCACTTCCTCTCACTAGCCACAGTGGCTCAGCACAGCCTCATCTGGCTTTCCCTTTTGTTTCCGCGCAGAGAAACAAGCCAAGACCGTATTCGGCATCCATCAGCCGATCGACAACGCCCGCTCGTCATCGCGGCTCACGCTCTTCACGCTTAGCCGCCAGATCAAGAACAAGATCGGAAAACACGTATTGACGCTAAGAGAAAAGAAAAGAAAAAGAAAAAGAAAAGAAAAAAGCAAACCGACGCAGTGGAACTCTAGCCGTGGCTGTGCAGTCGCTTTCCACCAATGTGGTTGGAGAAGTCGAATTTTTCTCGATTTTTCTCTGTTTTTTTTGTCTCCACCAGCCTATCAGTGAGGTGCCTTTTACTACTGTTTTGGGAAATGGGAACCCGTAACTAGTTATGGGCTTGGGTATATCTCATCGTTCTGGTGGTAAGGCTGTAGGTACCCGCCTTTGCGCATAAGTACAGGAGCTGCCACGAGTTTTTTTTTTCAACCCCCCCATGTCCACTCTGTCCGCTTCAAACAGAGTGTTTTGCCCCATAGACGATTAGTAAATCTGCTCGGCTGGCCCGAGAAAGAGGGAGGAAAGAAGACGTGGACGTGCGGGAGTTGGGATCCGTGGAAGAGCAGGCGGGAATGTCACTGTCACTTCTTGCAACGTTTCCGAGAGATTATACGCATGTTACTCTACCTTTGCTGATTACTTGCTTCTCGTAGACCCAGCATGTACTCTATCGTGCACACCAATAGTACACAGCGCTTAACCTCCCTTTTTTTTTTCCCTTTCTTTTCTTTTTCGATATGTTTTCCTTTTCTCTCTATTACAGAGTATAACTCTCTGTTTCTTTTTGTTGCTTTCTTTTTCCATTTTTCGATTGTCTGCTTTCATCTCGTTCTTCGTCCTCTCCCCCTGCACCGCCACGAGCGAGCGATCTCGTTAGGATGTCCGATCGAGATCGACGTTTTTTTTCATCTCTTCTCGATAAACAGCAGAGTAGCACTTTTGTAAAGGATCCCTCGATGTGCGGGAGCATGTTACACGGTTCGTGCCCAGTTCACGTCCATTTTTGCTTTCTCTCGAGGGACGAAGGTTATCGTTCAAACCCCTAAATCGAGTTGTTCTCCCTCCTTTCGTAAACCGAACTGCACATCTCCAGACCCCTAAATTAAATGCATCGTCCTTGCGAAACCCTGGATGGACGAATGATAGATCTACGACCGACCAAACAAACCACATGTTATTTTCTTTTCCGCCAAAAAGAAAAGCATTAAGTTCGGAATTGAAGATTGAGATCTTGAGATTGAGTTCTTGATCTATCGAATTACCGATCTTGGATTTTTCTTCACCTCGTTTCTTTTTTTTTTTTTTGCTTTCTTCTTTTCGCTTGTTCTGCTGTATCGAATGTGTTCCCTGCTCGAAACCAACTGAGCGTGATCTCTTAGTAGGGATACAGTAGCCTAGCGTGCATAACACGATTTTACCGGGTTAACCTGGGCCGACGAGAAAAAGTAGGAATAGTTAGCAGGAATAGGCGGAAGGACGAGAGAGAAACCAAGTATACGGACGAACCTGGCCATCGGATCCTGTCCGTCATCGAGAGAGAACCCAACATCTCGGAAACTACCCTTACCCGGGCCTTCAAACTAGGCCCTACGTACCACTGCGATGGGACGACTCGACTATTACTTGTCAAAAGCTGAACCTGGTCGGTTGCAGGGTTTCAAGTACTTACTTACGATGTATACTATGTATGCTGTAGAGTCACGCTGTTGACGGCCAGGCTGGTCGTGCCGTCAGTCAATAGTCGAATTGCGTTGCGGAGTAAATAGGGACCAGGAACAAGCTCTCTACTATGTAAGCTGTGTATATACTTCGTCCATCACCGACAGCAGACGCAGACTCCCGCGCCCTTGCTCGTCCTTCTGGTCTGCCGAGTTAAGTCCGTCCAGGGTTTCGAGGTCAGATGACCACCACGAGTCAGGCCGTGAACCACTTGCACGCACATAAGCAGCACATACGTAGTAAGCAGAGACAATCCTGTGGCTGGAGAGCGAAACGTGGAGAAGAGCAGCGAAAGAGGAGAGAGTCACCTCTGCGACTATGTGCGCTGCTATTGACGACGATCCGCGATCTACTCACTAGCCACATACCACCTTGTCGACATAGCGTGTACATAGTCAAGACGGCACAGCGAAGAGCCCGAAAAAGAAAAGAAAGGGAAAAAAAAAAACAAGACAGGCACAAAAAAGAAAGGGAGGAAAAAAAAGAGCGAACCCGATTAGAATCTCGTCGTAGCCGGAAGAAGAAAGAAGGGCAGAACAGATGACGATGAATTACTGCATCAGGTCGCATTCATGCATGCAAGTCGAGACGCTTTGCTTTTTCCTCTTCTTAGTTTGTCAATGTCATTGTGGCGGAGTCCGATCGGTGTAACCGGACAGGGTAAGGGTAAAGCCACAGAGACTCGACTTTAGGACTCCATATCTCCGGGTAGAGGACGGAGTACGGAGGGGACGGGAGGAACGGAGTGGTCTGTCCTGTAGAGTCATAATGGCGAGGCCGGACAGCCCTATGGCTTCCCTTGTCCTAACCTTCCTCGATGCCATCTTCTTCTTCCTTCTTCTTCTCTCTCCATCTGCTTCGCTCTTGTTCTGCATTAAGCCCTGTGCACAAGCCCAAGCCTGAGTTTTTTTTTGGTCCGGAAACGGCCTTGGCATCCATATACGGACTAGCGCTGATGACTAAAGGCGGTGAAGATCTAGGTTTGCAAAAATAAAAAAGAGTCCACGTCAGGTCTCCCGATACGGACTAGCCACTTTTAGCCTTTGCAAAAAAAGACTTTGAATAGACGCCGGGAATATATAGTAACCCTCCAGGCAAGCGAAATCGACCTCGACTTCCTCTCCAAGTTCTCTCTACAGTTCAAGCAGCAGAAAAGTCGAAACCACTCCAGTCCAACGATCGACTCTTTTGATACACACACACACAGCAACAAGCCACGCCTCGCACAATCTACCAAGAACTCTAAGAGGGTAAAAAAAAAAAAAAAAAAAAGAAAAGGAAAAAAGCAAAACCACCCTCCATGTTCATACACTGGGTTCTTGCAGCACAGATATAATAAGAGGAACCAACTCCCACCCTTTCTTCCCTTCCCTTCCTTTTTTTTTTTTATATTCTATTTTTTCATATTTTATTTTACTACGAGCCCAGTGGTACACAAAGCAAGCATTCGCACAGAGTTTCAGCCCTAAAAGAGGTTCTTCAACCTCTTCAGTTGATTTGAGTTCTTGGCTCTCTTTGCCACAGGACTTCGCTGCAACTTTTTCCGGTCCACGGGAAGGTATAACTATTTGAGGATGATGCTGTCCTCCATCCCTTCACTGTCGACATCATATATCCGCCACAGCACCGGCCCATATACAGAGCAGACCCTACAACTCCAAGACCAGCTCGACCAGCTCGATCAAATTGAGCTGCTCCTGCCCTCCTATCTCCACCAGCACCAGCACCAGCACCAGCAGCCGTCCACCACTGATAGTCCGTTGTTGAACTTTTCTGCTTACCAGGGCTGCTCTACGCCACCTCCTCCAGAGTCATCCTCCTCCGCCGTAGCCTCTCCAGCAGGCACAGTCGCCTACGACTCCTCCTCGCCCGTCTACTCCGTCCAGGGATCTCCTGAGACCGACTTCATCTCTTCCTTCTACCACGGCGCAGGGAGCTTTTCTATGCCCGACGAGAGTTTCCCGACTCGGGAAGAAGGGCTATCGCATACTCCACCGACGCCTTCCATAAAGGTGTATCAGTCTTCGCCGCACAACAACAACAACAACAACAACAACAACCCTCACCAACACCAGCACAACAACCAGATGCTGCTACAGTCGGGTCTATCGTACGAAGGGGACCTCCAGACGTTGTTACCGCCACAGCACAACCATCATCACCACCACCGTCTCTCCTCTCGAGCTGCTGCTGCGACTGCTGCCTGCGCAAAGCCACAGACACAGTCGCAATCGTCACCGCATAGACGCACCCCATCCACCTCATCCAGCGTCTCCCTGCCGTCTGCCTACCACGGGTACACGGGCTACGACCGCGGCTCGTCAAAGCCTCTGCCTACCCCTGAACAGACCCCCGTTCAGTCTTCCTTCCTGGCTCAGCCATCGTTCCCTCCTTACGACCCGTCTTCCTCGTACCGAAATGCAGGAGACCATCCGGAGATGGAGATGGCAATGAGACGAGCAGCCTTTGAACAGCAGCGACAGCAGCAGCAGCAGCACCGCCAGCAGCAGGCTGCGCATGCTGTCGACGAAGAGCCAACAACCACTTTCCCACCGTACTCCCTCGCGCCGTCGGTGTCGACGTTGAGTCATAACTCACCCGCCACACCGCAGACGAGCTTCCCGGAAGAGTCCGAGGACACTAAACTTGCACATGGTATGACTCCGATTCCCGTTGATGTGCACGGCTGGTTAGACGAATACTTACTCTTCGATGATACAGACAACCTCGCACAACCGTCCCATGTGACCGGTTCCCTCTCCGACCCCTTCCAGGAGGAGATGTACAACCCAGCCTTACAGCAGCTACGAAGCGGCTCGGCACAGAAAAACAGACCACAGACACAGCCACAGCAGCAGCAGCAGCAGTACCCTGGCTACCGCAACCGAAACGTTATTGCCGATAGGCTGCAGGCCGCCCAGCAGGGACACATGACCGCGCGAGCTCACTCCCCTCGCGACGCATCTCCCTGGGCCCAGCCGGCGAACGTCTTCCAGAACGCACTTCACCAGCCATCCCACATGAACTCTGCCCTCCGGGGAATGGACCTGATGAGTCACGGCGGCCATGATGAGCAGCCCAAGACCATCTCGCCCAAGGACGCGATGCTCGAGTTCCACGAGTCACCCGCGGACAACAGCAGCATGCCCCTGTTCCCCTCGCAGGCCGAAGCCTCGCAGTTTGAAGCTGCCGTGGCTACCACACTGGCCAACACAGACTTCTCCAACGATGCCTTTGCCCCCTTCTCCTCCGCCTCCCAAAACACACCACAGCCTTACTTCCTCGGCCAGGCTGGCGCCGACGTGCTGCAGTACCCGGCCGGCACCGCCCAACAGCACCCGCCCCAGCACCACCAGCAGACTAGCGCCGAGTTTGCAGCCGCCCTGGCCGGACTCGACTCCGGGTCTGTCGACCGCAAGATGGAAGACCGGGACTCGGATCTACCCGCCGGCCGACCAGACGACACAGCGTCGGAAGCCGGAACCTACAGCTGTACCTACCATGGTTGCACCCGCCGCTTCGAGACGCCTGCTCGTCTGCAGAAGCACAAGCGCGAAGCCCACCGCCAGACGACGCCCGGCTCGCACATGCTTGCCCGCGACAGCTCCTCTCTAGGTGCCCGTGGGCTCAGCGCACGCAACTCTCAGGCTGGCCCTCACAAATGCGAGCGCACCAACCCCTCGACGGGCAAACCATGCAATTCTATCTTCTCACGGCCCTACGACTTGACGCGCCACGAAGACACAATACACAATGCTCGCAAGCAAAAGGTCCGCTGTCATCTCTGCACCGAAGAGAAGACCTTCTCCCGCAATGACGCCCTCACCCGACACATGCGTGTCGTCCACCCCAACGTTACCTGGCCAGGCAAGCAGAAGCGACGAGGTCGTGACGACTAAACCTCCACATCCCCCCCCCCCCCTTTCTTTTCCGCTATGATGTGATGTGGATGCCTCAATTTTTGCAAAACCAAAAAAAAAACAACAAACAAACCCTCGAGAGCTCGAAGCTTCCCTCGAGTTTAGGCATGATGTTTATCATGACGTCAGTGCCAAGGCGCAACAAGAAACCACGAGGTTTTAGAGTTTGGCAGAATCAAAAGCCGGACCGAAGTGGGGCGCGGTCGATCGATCGGCTTGGCACTGACGTCATTACCATATCCTATTCTTAGCGCTTTTCCTCATTGCATATCGGAGTTTCTTCTTGGGAGAAAAGGAAAAGACGACTGGAAAAGGAGAAGCCTCAGATGATTTATTACCCCGAGCGATGAAAGATGAACAAAGCAAGCGTTTCCCCCTTTTTTTTTCCTTTAACGAATAATATGGCTTTTGATTAATGATTCTACACTTACTTTTGGTTTTGGTCGGCTGGTCTCCCCCATTGGTTTTCCATTCTAAATAAGCCACTTTATATACTTATACCACACTTAATTACCTTTCTTCCTTATTTTTCTTTTACCTTTTCTTTCTCTTCTAAGTTGGGCATGAAACATGCATGGAACATCATCGACATGAACATGGATGGGCGGAGTTAGTTCGGCGCCGAAGCAGAGATCACCAAAGAAATGAAATAAAAAAAAAAAAACACCGCAAGGGCAATACAACGATCGATATATGGGATGCATGCATTGGGAAATTGGACGGACGGGGATGATGGACGCATGGTTTCGGCTTTCTCTTTCTGTGATGCTTGTTCTGTCGTCGAGTTCAAACTTTAGACGGGTCGGGTGGGATAGCACTTATACAATGTACGAATATGAATCAAGAAATGAAAACTATTAAGTCATATACCAACCTATGATGATACTTTCCGAGTCATAGGACGCTGCGCTTAAAAGTAGGGAGTTGAGTTTTGGCCAAAGCAGGGAAGCGCGAGTATTCTTGAGAATGGGGGAGCTGGCTAGAGCGTCGAAGTCCGCTCGCTACCAGGCCTTCCGAGAGTTTCGTGACGATGGAACTATGAGCTTCGCTGCTTATGTACATGGATTATGTAATACGGGGTGGGAAGGGGAACAAAAAAAAAAAAAAGAAGCGCTGCGTCGACCGGGAGTCGAACCCGGATCTCAACTTATCAGTCGGTGCGATGGAAGAGTCGTGTGCTACCGCTACACCATCAACGCTTGTTGCTTGTAAAAGGCCTGTTTAGAGTGCCCTATATAGGGAGCGGGTACGGCCAGTTTATTAAACACTGACTTGCGCGTACATGTTGAATCGTAGAAATAACATAGATTAATATAGCTATAACTAGGAACCACATCTTGATGGGAGAACCAATAGGCCTTGCATTTTAGGTATGGGGGTTGTTTTTAGATATAGATGTGTAAACTGATCAATAGCATGATATATTTATCATAGCTGGACTCATCTTCATGAATGCTTTAGTTCCCACCAGATAGATTATTCGACCCTGGGAAAACGCAGCATTCTCTTGCTACCTGCAGGATTCTTCATTTAAAGGCTTTATATATCTCGGCATGCTGTATGGAAGTTTTCACCTGTTTGGGTCAAGGTGGCTGGGCACTTGGTGTGGTTAAATAGTGTTGCACTTGTACTCCTAGCTATGTATATACCTACTACTTGATCTGATAGCGACTGGTCCGGCCGCTGAATGGCTCGTTCAGGTGGCTCTCCGCTTCAGGAGACAGTATTCCCCCCAGACGCGCTGGTATTTCTTCGGGATAAAGGGTAGGTTTGGAATCCAAATCATTCTCCCTAAGATGCCAGTACGACGGCTATCTAGGAATGGCTTACACGAGAGTTGCTCCCATGTTTCTGTATCGAGGATATAATGTGGTTCGAGCTTGGTCTCCTTGTCACCTGGGAAATATGAGTCAACGAGATAGGTACATTGAGAAATGTCGGTCTACAAGATGGTTAGTTTTGGCGCTGGATGAAAAGTGATCATTGAGCCTACATATTTTCCTGGGTCTTCCTGGTTCCGGTCATTCATACCCTTGGGGATCACCCATGTTCCCGGTAGATATCCAAGCCCGGCGCCAGACTCGGCAAATTCCCCCGGTAATAATCCTTGGAATTCGCTCTTGACGAATTTTGCTCGAAGGTTGTTATTCGGTAGGAAGAATGAAGACGGAAACCGATACCACTCCTTGCCATAACATACGAAACCTTCGGGCTGCATACCGTTTGTTTGTTGTAGTGAATCAAAGATTTGAAGGGGTGCGTTGTACGCCGTCACAACGCCAGTAATCCTCAAGAGGCCGACGTTTACGGCTAGCAACACTGGGGTGACGGTGAATATCAGCTTCGCCTTTGCGGGTATACTGCCGACTAGTGTCTTTGGGTCGGACGTTCCGATGTATGCTAGAATGATATGGAGGCTGACGGCAGCGCTAAGGCCAAGGAAGGGATATGCTGGGTACATAAACCGCTCTTCTTTATGAGGTTGTATGGTAAAAATTGTGAGCCACATGTAGAATGGCAGTACGAGAGTGATTGATCTGAAAAGAGTTTGAGGGGAAGTCTTGTGAGGGCGGAACAGGGCCTGGAGGACGAGCAGGGGAGCACTAGAGAGTGCGAGAACGGCCCACATGTTGAAGTTAAGCAACAAATTTTTGAAATAGAATGTCCATGGCTCGGTTCCAAAGATGTTGGGGCCTTTGCCCGAGCCTCCAAAGACATTATAGGCCACAATGTTCCATGGAACAAGACTGAGTCGACGGTAAAAAATACTGTCTACCAAGACCACAGCCGACTATGGATGGATTGTCAGTATATATATGTGGTAAATCATTGTAGGATCATACCAGGATCAGCAAGCATTTCATAACACCTTCAAAGGTTCGCTTGAATGTTGGTACAATATCCCCTAGGGACCATGCTACCGTAGCCTCTTCCAGCAGAAACGGTATAGCCAAAGCACCTGCAAATGGCCAACCAACCACAGCGCCAATACCAAAGCATACAATTCCTTGGACGGTCTTCAGCCCACCTTGCCAATCGAGAAAAGCAGCCAAGCCAAGCATGGACATGTACATGGAAAAGCTGGATGGAAGTACTGCAGTAGAAGCATGGAACATGCCAGGGCTGAATACCATAATTACAAGAAAGAAGAGTCCAATTCTTGGATTTAGCGAACAGGATATCGCAGCGAATAGTCGTGTTTCACATATTGTGCAAAAAAGTCCAAGTGTTAACCGCACCATATAGAACTGTGCCGATTTTGTCCTTGCAAAGAGACCTAGTATCTTAGCAATGCTTGAATGCAGCGTGATATATAACCAGCTTCTAATGGAATACTCCGGAGAATATTCCCAGGTCTGTAGCCCATATCCATGGGTCATGTAGTGTGTCGGTTCCCAGTAATTATAGACTTCATCACAGTCCTGTATGGGGGATAGAGCTGCGGCCAGAGTGTTCGAGAGAAGACAGAGGTAAAATACGGTGTTAATGGGAAGAGAGAAAGGTGGTGGAGGTCGCCTATGTATACCTTTAGTAGGGTGTCTCACTCAAGTTCTATTGTGAAGGCCAAGGTTCACGGTTGCTTACTTTGATTTAGAGGATGGTGCTGGAACTTCTCTAGAGGAGCTGGGAGGCGACATGATGCCGGCCTGCTTGTAGATACGTTCAACCAGCTCGCGTCCTATTTGATGCTTGTTAATTTATACACAAAAATAACACGAAAGCCAATCTGATAAGACGATACACGTGACGTCACTTTTATCGGAACAGCTAAATTCCGCAAATGAGGCTCAGCATAAAGTTTAAATCTACTTGCTGCCTAATTATTTTGGCTTATTTTGATGATATTTATCAGAGAAAGAATTATTCAATCTATTTTATTGTGAATTATCTATTCGTATTACCATGCATCGTTGGCATGAATCTGGCTGTCGGCAGCCAGATATCGTTTTTATAAATGGTACACCACGGTGCAACTCTTGTTTATCACAACCGGGTACGGGAGTCGATGCGGCCCCTATGCTACCAATTCCTCGCCTCGAGTCTCGATCTCAACTGAACCTCACTTGGCCTCCAGCCGTCAAATATACCCATCCTAACACTTGCCCCAACGGTGTGACTGCTCCATCTATATCAGGAGCCAAAACTTCCCATGGCTCCCTCTTGGTTGGAAAGAGTAAAAGCCTTGGTAGCTTTCCCGAAGTCACCACAGAAGGGGACATTAGGTTATTGCGGTTGCGGCCCGGCCAAAACGATGACCCGATCCACGGAGAAATAGAACTGTTATCTTTGAAAGACGATACTCAGTCTTCATCGTATCTAGCCTTGTCTTATGCTTCCTCTGACGAAGATGGTGGCCTTCCAACAAAAAGTTGCCCAGTATATGTTGGCCTATACTGGGATGTTATATACACCACAAAGAATTGCGGTGATGCTCTCAGAGCAGTCCGCCATCAAGGCACGGATCTACCGGTTTGGGTGGACGCTGTTTGCATAGATCAGCAAGACATTGACGACAAGACACGGCAGGCCAGCTTAATGAGGGATATTTATACCAAAGCGTTAAAGGTGGTGGTTTTTGCCGGAAACCCCTCTTCGGACAGCGATGTGGCTCTTGATCTTTTGGCCATGTTAGCAAAAGGGCCATCGGTGTCTAGTCGGGTGGCCGCCACCAAGGAGAAATCGCAAATTGCCCTCAAAGCTCTCATTAAGCGGCCTTGTTTTTCTAGGCTATGGGTTACCCAAGAAGTGTTTCTTGCTAGGAATCTGGAGATCCTCTGCGGTAACCGTTCAGAAATCTGGCCTTCGTTGTTTTCCTTGCCTAGCGGTTTACGCAACAGCGCTTCATTCTCGTTGCTGGCCCGAAAGAGTGGAGATATGCTTACACACACTCGCCTCCTCTTTGAACATGCTATGTCTCATGACTGTTTGGATCCTCGTGATAAAATATTTGCAGTCCTTGCTCTTCTACACAAGGAAGGTGTACGACCCGATTACAGCCTCCCTGTAGAGGTTGTTTATACCGGTATCACTGCCTATCTATTAAAAAACTGTCTTGCTTTTTGGCCGTTAAGTCTCCTGGGAATGGGGAAACGAGGCTCGGGCTTACCGTCTTGGGTCCCTGACTGGTCTCAGCCCCTATCGCTAGGTCATATAGACCTGGAGCATAATGCGGAGGTTGGTTTTCCTCATAACCAATTCTTCTTCGATTTTTATAATCCCCAGGAACCAGGGACTCAGCCCGGGCATAAGATTAAAGTTAGTACTAATGGGTCGCTAATTACCCTTGCGACCAAGTTATGCGACATTTCTCCTATGGATAAGGTGATTCCAGGCCCCGACCACCAACGCATTATAGTCTTGAATAGGGGCTGCCATGGTAACTTATTAATTCCTCTGGTAGATAAGGAGTACGAGATAGGAGAAGATTCTATATTTTTTCTGGATGGACCAGATTACCCGGTTATTCTTAGAGGCCATCCAGGGACCAACACGTATTCATTTGTGTCTGTCTGCGACATCTTTCTGGTAAAGCCGGAAAACGGGTTAAAATGGAGGGTTCCATGTGGCCTAGAAGTGCACGAGTGGCCCCTAAAAGTACCCTTAAGGCTTTCTTCAGAGAGCAACAAGGCCATTCAAGATTTCCATACCAGTCTATTGGAGTTGTGTGGAGTTGAGCGAACACACACCCCGGAGGACACAGACGCTGACCCAGCCACCGCTGCAAGAACTGCGGTTCTTGATTTTTGGATTCTCTCCATGACGGATTTCAGAACGTTAGAATCGAGATTAAGAGCCAGGTGGCGAGCATGCCATGACGATCTGCGGTGGATATTCCGCGACCAAGCCGCCATCTGGAAGTTGATTCAAGACATGGACCAGGGGGACCAAAATGACATATCAGGCGTGGGCTCAATGGGCTTCGGAAATCAAGCAAGCTTGGGGAAGAATTATTCTATAGATTATCGGACCGAATATACGTGGGATCTTCGGAGATTTCTTTGGTCGTTTCTCAATCCTAACACGGGAGCTTCGAAAGATCTGGACGGCGCATATAACCCGGTATACGAAATGCTAAAAGTCCATATTCCTGAGATCCGATCATGGGCCGAAGTAACCGAGAAATTGATGAACGCGATTGACTTTTTACGGGCGGCCCTGGGGAATGAACGAGATTTTTTCCCTGGGGTAGATCTCCCGAATAAGTGGCGTTCTAGGTGGGAAAACTTTTCCAGGGCAAGGAGTGCAGAAGACCGCCCTGAGAGTGAGGCTTTCAACTCAGAGTGTTATTGGGACTGGCCGGCGTTTGAGCGATGTCTTGAGCTGAGGGATACGCTCTTTGCCCAGGATCTCCCTCCAGCATTAGATATAACCGAGAACCTTGAGGTGAGATCACATGTAGTACTCAGGATACTAGGATTGCGCCTAGATGCCATGACGACGGTAGAAATTGTCTAGGTCTTGACCCTTTTTTCGATTTGCGATTATGATAACGTCGATAGCAATGATGTGATAATTTAGCGAGCATCTATAATAACTAGAGGTAGAAGAATGTTAGTATAGTGTTGCATGTCTACTCAATACTCTTGTCAGGCCCATGGCATCAGCGACTGTGCTATCACTCATTCACAACCAGAGAAAAAACCAGCATCGGCTTGCTCTCTTAATACATACTTCTTTTATTATTCCACGAGGACGGGAGTCTAGCACCGCTATAACGCTACCTCCTAGACTTTGGCCATGAATTTCACAGGGCCCCCTGAACTCCTACACAATAATACCAGAACGAAGTTGCGCGACAGCGGAGATGGCTAAAGAACCTGACCCAATAGCCGTCCCAAAGAAGACAGATGGCCTCAAGGCGTCCGTTGGGCATTCTTCGAGCGAGTCGTCCGGTTCTCCCACTTTATCTCATGTTACCAGTGCTTCCTCTGCACCATCAGCCCCCTAAAGGTGGTTCAAAGAGCAGGCGGAGAGGCACCTATGGTTTCAACAGCTTACGAGAAAAACAGGGAAGTGCTGCATTCTTTACCTTTCTTTGATGACATATTGCCACTACCCCCTATTTCTCACCAGTCAGCTGCAATCACTTCCTCGGCATTCACTCCGTTCCAGCATCTCAGTAACCTTTGAGTTAGGATTACTAATTTTATGCTTCTCATACTACAGCATGGAGGAATTCTTATACTTCTTTTCTAATGCTGGGATTCGTCTTTGATAAGATCTGGTTCTCTTTAGATCAATTTATCACCGGGACAAGGTCAACAGATAAAGATACACCTGCGCAAGTGCTAGAGAATACTAAGAGGCGAGCCCACACTGATTGCGGCAGAGAGACTGGTTATATTTGACAAACAATTATCAGTTTACTAGTGTATATGATAATGTCTTATCTGGTATATAACGTAGAAAATATAAGAGTACTAGATACCTAAGTAATATAAACGCGTCTATTAAACGGCGCTTCTCAACATCGCGTTGTTTAACTAAAGTTTTAACGCGCTCATATATCACGTGACCAACAATAAAGCACTAAACTATTTGGGACTAGCGTTCTTTGTTTATCTTATCGAAAAAAAAAGCCAAAAAACGCAAAAAGTTATTTTTCGAGCTTCAAGAAAGTCGCATATAAAAACTGTTTACTCGATTGTGGTGGAAATTGCTTCTATTCGATGGATATCTCATGCAACTGTTAAAGTGTCATCTTTAGTGACTTGACAAAGCTCTCATTTTTTTACTCTACCTAGACTTGTCTTGCATATCATGGCGGACACTGTAATGGGAGATGACGCCCACAACCCACACATAGAACAGCCGGACCTGAGGGATAGCTCTGCCCCAGTCAATGCTTCTGTTGCTACAGTAGCGACGGAGGCTCCGAAAGATGATGAAAGTGACTTTTATAATACACCTTTGAACGCAGGGACCGCCCTTCCGCCGAATAATGTTGTTTCTACGAAGGACGAAGTAATGACAGAGGAAAGATCCGAGTCACCGCACGCTACGATCCCGGGTCTTAGCCTGTGCAGTGAAGAAAGGCGCCCGGGTAGCGGCATCCCTCCGCAGCAAACCCCGTCTGAACCTGCTCAGAACACAATAGAGACTGCTTCCGAGAAAGCTAGTGCAACTGATACAGTCATGTCTAGTGATGGCACAGAGGGTTCCAAGGCAACTGATTCCGGAACTGTTGGTGTTTCTAGTGCTAAAGAGGCGTTGGATACAGTACCCAGTGCTCCCAGAACTGCTGATGATGATATTGCTGCGCTTGCGGCTGAGATGATCGAAGGAATACCGCCTACCGTTGATAGAGGTGACCAACCTCAAGAGGACGATCATCCAGAGTGGGAAGTCGATTCGTCTCCATACGAATCGTCTTCAGACTCCTCTACCGATTCTAGCTCTAGTGATTCTAGTGACAATGAAGACGATGACGATGACTACGAACTCCTTGATCCTGAAGAACAGGCTCGATTATTGATGGCTACTGAAGGAGGGTCTGATGATGAAGGTAGCAGCGGAAGGGCGGCAGCGGCTGAAGTCAGGACGGCGAACGAAAAACCGGACGAAGTTGTGCCAATGCCAGATATTACCATTACCCCTGAAATGAAAATTGAAATGTTAGGGAACATTGAGACTATTGTCGACAATGTCGTGTTGGTAAGAGCAAACATATCCGGAGAGTACCAGGTCCTGGAGAGTGGCTCAGTCCTGTGCTCGGTCAACTTGAAGGTTATCGGGGTAGTGTCTGAAACACTTGGCCGTGTTCAACAGCCCTTGTATACTGTTCGATTCCCCAATGCGGAGGCAGTCAAAGAAGCGGGCCTGGAGAAAGAAACTCCTGTGTTTTACGTTGTGGACCACTCGACCTTCGTTTTTACGGAACCACTCAAGGGCCTCAAGGGGAGCGACGCATCGAACTTACATGACGAAGAAGTAGGAGACGAGGAGATAGAATTCTCTGACGACGAAGCTGAAGCTGAATATAAGCGGCAGCTCAAACTCAAGCGTCAGGCAAAACGTGAAGGAAAAGTTGAACGTGGAGGAGGCAGCAAAGGGAAAGGATCGGCCCTGCCGCCGTCAAATCTACGACATTCTGAACTCAACTATGATGATAATAGCGTAGATAACGACGGATATACCCGCCTCTTGCGGCCTCAAAACCTGCATGAGCTCATGGGAAGTGAAGCTCCTATGGAAATGCCGCACCCCGCTGACCAACATGGCGAAAGATCATTCCGCGGTGGTAGAGGCCGGGGCCGTGGAAGGGGTAACGACCGAAGTGGACGCGGAGGCCGAGGTGGAAGGGGAGGGTATGATAGGGGAAGCAGACAGTCTTCTCAGGGCCAGGGTAATCGACAAAGTCAACCACAGCACGCTGAGTATTCACCACAACAACACCCTTCTTACCAACAAAATCCGTACCAGCAGCCGTCCAACCCGCCTCTCCCACATCAATCTCAACCACAAGCCTCTGGTAACATGCCTAATAATTTCGGGAACAACAGCAGCGGACCCTATCAGCCTACTTTTCCATCAGGGGCATTCCAACCTCAAGGCCTTCCACAATATCCTTTTCAATTCTCTCCTCCTTCCAATTCCCCCCAGCCTATGTTCCAATACCCTCCTCCCGGATCGCATATCAATCCTGCTTTTTTCCTAGCCATGCAGCAACAGCAACAGCAACAGCAACAGCAAGGCACATATTATCCTGCGCAAACTCAGCCGGCCCCGGCACAAAATCAGGGCCTCCCGAATGCATCAGTTGACTCCGTTGCAGCAGTGCAAGCTCAGCTAGATATTCTAAAACGTCTAACCAATGGAGCTAACAGCGCTAATGGAAGCTTGGGTAATTAGGCGTTGGTATATGCTTCAATTTATGCGTTCTTTCTCGAATGGCCTCTATAGCCCTGTATCTGTTACTGCTGTTTTGGCTATTATTCGCTATTGATTCTAACTACACTGTATATATCAGTTTTCAAGGGTGTCGTGTTTGTTCAAATGTTATTCTGGATTTTAGATGTTGTGCCTTGGTGGAGTTGCCTGTTTGGAGTTATGTGGGATTGGCGTCTTTTAAGTGCATCAAAATTTTGGATCGAATAGACGGTGTGCCAAAAAGTAAGATAGACTTAGAATAACCAAACATATGCTCTATTCTAATAACTATTCAAATATAAAATCATTTAACATTCATATCTAGAGAAACTAGAAGAGAGAAGGTGGAAAAGGCACGCTTGATTTCTCCGGCAATTGGTTGAGCATAGTGCCTGCGACTGTTTAGAAGGATTAAATGTTCATAACGGCGGCCTGGTAGAAGTTTCAATTAGTTGATCGGTCAAACAAACGATAATTATGGAGATGAATAGATTTTTCCTACCCGTGCATCCTCATAAATAGGCATCAATCCAGTCCAATGTTCAAACTAGTGGTAAGCAATGTTAGCCTGCTATTGATTTTTTTATATGAGTTTTAGGGCTGAGATGAACGCACTTGATAGATCCCCTGGGCAACCAGGACTTCGAGTCCCTTAATAATTTTCCAACCAGCTGGTGATGCTAGCCGCGCCATAGTGGTCACATCTGGCTTATATGCCATATCTAGTAAAATGCACTCTCTAGAGCTATCTTGGCCTTTCTCCATAATCTGGGTAATCAATTCTGGCAATGGATTTTCGAGTTCCTGATCACCCGGGATAGTGCTAATTGCCACTTTAGGGGCAGCTTGAACTGATTTTATGTCTTGAACAACCTGAATATTGTACTCGGCTGGAAAGCTGGAGGCGAGTTTGGACAGATTTGACGGTGTTCTCCCAACAAGATAGATGGGAGAATATCCCATGCTATGAAGCGAATAAATAGCTGCTCGGGCGGTGCCGCCACTTCCAATGGTGAGAGCAGATTCTCCATTGTTGGAACAGATTGCTCCGGCGTCCTTTAAGCAGCGGGCCATACCTTGCCAGTCGGTGTTGTATCCAATTAACCGAGGGGGCCTGCCGGAAACAGTGATGGGTACGATGGTGTTGACGGCGCCTATGATCTTGGCTTCTGGAGAAATTTCATCAAGCAAGCCCATTATTTGTTCCTTTAAGGGGATGGTCACTGAGGCACCACCAAAATCATCTGATCGGATAAACTTCTCAACATTTTCGGCCTTGTCCGTTTCCAACAGGCCGTAATCGTGCGGGAAGCCAGCTTGTGTAAAAAGAGCGTTGTGCAAAGCTGGAGATCTCGAAGCAGAGATGGGCTTTCCGAAGAGGGCGAATTTCTTGGCATCAAGTTCACCCATGAGAGTAAGGGCTTGCCGAATGTCTTTAGCAGATACTTGTCCCGGTGCAGCCTTGAAGGGAAGAGCAGGGTGTGAAACAGGAGTCATAAATCTATTTAGTATGCGACTGAGACGACCCTTGTTGCCCATGTTGATAGCAATGATTGGAACTGGATAGGACTTCTCTGCCCAAGATTTAAACTGTTGAAGCGCCATGTTGTCCTCAAAGGTTTTAGCAACGCCAATAAGCTTGATAATGTCACCATGTTGTAGGGCTTTGTTGTAATATTGAATCCATGACCCATTAGACCACGAGAGTTGGCTGTTGACATCATGATGTGACGCAATAATCTTAGAGAACCCTTTCATCTCGGTTACTGCATGAAGCAGATCATTGGGGAATGAAAGTTCAAGATCAACAAACTCAGATCCCATACGAATAGCAAGCTTGTAGAGTTCCAAGGCTTTGTCAACAGCATCATCAGGGAACTGTCCACCCTGCGCTTTAGTGCGAATAGTGAAGATAAGTGGTTGAGACGCGTGGCTACGGAGGAAGGACATTTGTTCAGCAACATAGCCGACCGAGGGAACTCCTGAAGTCGACGACGGGTCCTTAAGAAGGTCAACCCTCAATTCTATAGCATCAGATCCAAAAGTAGCCGCTCGGAGAATGTCCGCAGAGAGTTGGAGATCTGGAAGTGTCAAGGACACGAAAAATGAATGGTCCTTCTTTTTCAATAATGCAAGATGATCAGTATTTCCCATAACCACATTCAAGAACCTTGTGAATCCTTGTAGTGCTGCATCCAGCTCACTCCTTTCTGAATGGTGGCTATAATACTGAAGGTTGCTGCATTCTTGGTACCATGGCTCCCGACGAAGCCACACACCCATCATGTCTTCAATATATGCAGGCCGTGTCTTGTCTATTTCTAGGAACTCGATAACCTTCTTGATGTTTCGCATGATAAGGAAGACATTCCCTTTGTTCTTATGGTAATTGATAAGGAGATCACGGGCTTCCTTCGTCTCAACAATCCCGCCACCACAGGCAAATATGTATCCGGTCGGCTTCTCGGCCATCATACGTTTAAGTAGAGCCAGTTCGGCATCCCGAAAGCCTTCCCATCCCTTTTGCTTGATGATCTCTGGAATAGGCATTCCTTCCACGTTTTCTAGCTCGGTATCAAGGTCGATGAATGGGCGATTGAGGGCTTTTGAGATGCTATATCCGCTAGTCGTTTTACCTGCGCCACGCATGCCAATAATGAATATAGATGCGATTGATTTTGTCGACTTCTGGATATCAACGACATTGTCATTGACTAGCTCTTTGCCATCAAGTTTCACTTTGAATGTTTGGGCCAAAGCATCCCACCATGCCGGCCAAGTTTTTCCAACGCACTCTTTCTCTAGAATTAGGGTTGGCTGAGAGGCTGCGGCTGCTGCTAGAACACTGAAACTCATAGCCACACGGTGGTCATCATAGCAATGTACTCCGTTGACCGGAACCTTTAACTCCGAACTGTCGATGCCGTCGATTTCAATCCCGTCATCGTGCTCTCGGCAGGTAACTCCGAATTTAGCAAGTTCATCTTTCATAGCCTTGATACGGTTGCACTCCTTGACTCGCTGATTTGCTATGCCATAGATACGTGTGGTGTTGCCGGACTTGTCGTTGGCAACGGCAGCAAGGACGGAGGCAGTTAGGAAAGCATCGGTCATTGGCTCCATGTCAACATTGGCTATGGGTTTCAAAGCACCATTGGTAGGGCCAGTGACGGTAGTAGAAGAATTGGTCTGCTTAACATCACAGCCCATGGGGCGTAGTACATCGACTGCGAAGCGAGCATCACCCTGGAGTGATTTTGACCCAATATTGGGAATAGTACAGGTGGTTCCGGACATGGCAGCAATCGCGAGAGGGTATGTTGCAGAGCTAGCATCACTCTCGATAATATATTCTGGAGGATTCTTATATTGGCCTTGTTGGATGTGGTAGGTGTATTCTTCAGTCGTGGACTTTTCCACATCAATTCCAAAGGATTTCATCATGGCCGCCGTCATGGCGATGTAAGTTTCAGAAATGGGCTTTCCACCAACAAGTTTGAGCGTAACTTTTTCCTTTGCATATGGTGCGCACATCAACAATGAAGAGACATACTGAGATGAAACTTTAGCAGCAAGTTCAATCGCTCCGCCCTTGAAGCCACCACATGCGGGGACCTTGAGTGGAAGACTTCCTTGTTGCTCGAGATAATCCACAGATACACCATTGGATTTTAGAGCGTCAACCAAATCCCCGATTGGGCGTTGCTTCATTCTGGCATTGCCAGTCAAGATATTGTGGGAAACATCATCTTTTTCGTTGGAAAGGGTTGCGACAGTAGTTAGGAATCTTGAAGCAGTACCAGCATTTCCCAAGTACAACTCGTGGGCACTGGCTTCTAGTTTACCACCTTTGCCATTGACAACGAGTACTTCACCTTCTTCTTCCCAAGAAAAGGTAGCGGCTCCCAATGCCTCTAAGGCATTGAGCATGACTTCCGTATCATCGGAGTGTAAGAGGTTTCTAATGCGGCATACTCCAGAGCCGAGGGCAGCGAGAACAAGTGCCCGGTTTGAGATACTCTTCGATCCTGGAGGAGTGCACGTAACGTTGAGAGGCTTTGGGATGCCAGGCAAGACTTCGATACTAGGTGCGAGAACGACCTTGAGCTCTTCGTTCGACACAACGCTCGCCTTTTGTTCGTGTGTGCGACCGATGGCAGAAAGGAGAACGACCTTCTTCATCGGCCCATCATTCTTCTTATCCACAGCCATAAAAGCAATAAGTTTGTCTACAGGACATTTCTTTCCTGCGCTCAAACGTCTGATGCGTGCATCCTTGAGGGAGGTAGGAAGTCCATATCTGGTCAGACATTTGGCAAGACGTGCCACGGCGGCGCCCTTGAGTATTCCAAGGTAGCGAGCAAGCTCAACTTCCTTGATCATTCCGATAGCAACACATTCACCATGAAGAATTTGCGGCGCAAGTATAGCCTCGATTGCGTGGCCGATAGAGTGGCCGAAATTAAGGAGATTTCGCAACCCACCTTCCCTTTCATCCTTTGATACCACATCTGCCTTAAATCGCGCAGAGGCTAGGATAGTTCGCTTAAGAATCTCCTGTATGCCACTGAAACGTGAGCGTTCTGGGGTGTTTTCTGTCTTGAGGGCCGCGGCGATGGCGTCTGCATTCTGCTCTAATTCTGCAAACGTCGTCTCACTTGAAATTGCAGCGGTCTAAGATACTGTAAGCAAAACAGGTAGTAGCTGTATGACTGAGAAACAGCCTTTAAAAAACCCACCTTGATGACTTCTGCCATTCCATTGGTAAACTCTCGCTGTGGCAGTGTGTTCAAGAATTCCATGTCCAAGTAGATCTTCTCTGGCTGCCAGATGGCGCCAATTAAATTCTTTCCATTTGGGGTATCAATTGCAGTTTTACCACCAATTGAAGAGTCCACCATTGCCAGCAATGTTGTAGGTACTTGAACAAATCGAATACCACGCATATAAGTGGCAGCAACAAAACCCGCCAGGTCTCCAATAACTCCACCACCAAGAGCAATCAGCACCGTATCTCGGCCGCATGGTGGCTGGCAGCTAAGCATCCAATCCTCGATCTCTGCCTTGGTTTCACGCCCCTTTGAGGATTCTCCTGGTGCGATCTTGTATGTGAGAAGCCGGGGTTTGGGAGACTTTTCAGCCGCAGCCTCCTCGAACGCTCTCTCAAATTCGGGAACATACAAAGGAGCGATATTCGTATCCGAAATGAGGATATAGGTTGACGACGAAAGGGTCTCAAGCAGGTCTCTGGCGACATGGCGCCGCCATATTCCAAAGTCCGCGACTATACTGTCGCGACCTAGAATCTGAATCGTTGTTGGCTGCTCCATGGCTGAAGCTGAGTGTGTGGGGAGCTATAGAGCAGGGGGAGGGGCAAGCTCTCAAATCTTTCTACAGTCAAAGCTACAGCGACGACAAGTTCAATGTAGCGACTTAATTCATCATGGGACAGAAAACAGTCGAATTAGCAACAGTAAATCAAAGACACAGCTTCGTATGATAGCTGGGGAGGCGAGGAAATACTACGGGCATACCGAAAATTGAGACCCAGCCAAAAAGCTCCCCTTGAAGCTAGTTATGAGTAATCGACCCCCCCGACGATCGGAGAACTCGACCTTGCTGCGTGAATATCAGCTTAACAGGCACAACAGCCTTAACGTGAGAGCATGACAGGGCATATATCAATTAACTAACAAGATAAAATATGTGAAGCTATACAGAAAAATCACTTGAAGGGAAGAAAAAAAGCCTTGACGTTCGTTTTTTTTTTTGTTGGAAGAGTTTCTGCCATCCTTCACCGCCTTCGGTCCGGTCTTGGTTGATTTTCTAATAATAAAACAGGAAAAAAAAGATATAAAGAAAAGGAAGACGACGGGGAGCATTCTATTCGTACATATTAATATACGTAGACTAAGCGAGTCCATGCTTGCTTAATACCTGCCATATCCATCACCTCTACCTCGACCACGGCCGGATCCCCTGGAGCTGTGGTAGCCACCCCTGCCATCATAGGATCCTCCTCCTCCACGCCCGTATCCGCCGCTCCCGCCGCTCTGGTAGTGCGGCCTGTCCTGGTAGGAGTTGTGAGGAGCATTGCCGTAGCCCGGAGGGTTGTGTTGAGTCCAGTTTTGTGGAGGTGGTTGCTGGTAATGGCCCCCGTACCCACCGCCGTATCCGCCGCTGCCTCCCCGAGGGTGTCCCTGAGACCGATATCTATCTGGGCCGTTGTACACGCCAGGAGGCGCAGGATTCCATCCAGGAGGCTGTGGTGGCGGAACGTATCCTGGAGGCAAGTGTGCTGCAAAGGGGTTGGGGCGGTCGTTGCTGGCATATGATATCTGGCCTCCTCTTCCTCCGCCTCCTCCTCTCCCTCTGCCACCGCGGTTCGAGTGGAGTGGTGCACCGCCAAATGATCTTCCAGAGTGTCTGGCTTTATTTCTGGTAATCTCTAAGTCTGTCTTGTCAAGGGCTGGCTCCTTGAACTTGACGCCGCGTAGCAACATTGACTTATGAGCATGCATCGACTTGGGCATCTCATAGTAAACACTGTGTTTAGATGTAAGTTAGTACATGGATAATATATATATATATATATTAACGAGTAGAGTAGGGGAGGCGCAACTAACCTTATAGATCGATCTTCGTCAAGGGTAGGGATATCGGCGCCATCCACGGATAAAGACAGAGCGCTATGAGGCAGATAGGATTCATTCTTTTCGACTTTCCCACCCAGGCCCTCGCTGATGCGCATGTTCAGCTTGAGCTTAGCTGAGCCTTGTTTTTTAGAGTAGAAATTGGCCGTCAGTGATTCATAGAGCGGATGTTTCTCGGATAACAGTAGCACATCCTTCCCCATGGCATTACGGGCTTGCTCCTCCTCTGATAGTAGCGGATACCGCTTGTCCATTGCTTTCAACAGCCGTTTCTCATCGATAAATGGCAGCAGTGCGACTCCCTGCCATGCGAACTTCTTTCCATTCAGATCAACGGGGAAGTCTTCAGGATAAAAGTCGATAATCTCACTGTTCTCGTCTGACATTAAGTCCCGGAATACTTCGGGAATGGCATGATTCGAAGCTGCAGGCAAGACGCCCATCAGTTGCTCGAACGGCTTGAAAGGGATTCCCTTGGTAAATTGTACATCCATCGCGCCAATGTCAACAAAATCCGCAGCAAATGGTGCGTAATGGTAAGGGTAATACCATGTCCAGGATGGACATCCTTGGAAATAGTACAAAAGGACCCAACTCAGTCCTTCAACATATGCCCGCGCCACCTTGTGCCGGAAAGCAATATCTTTGCGGTCTACTTTGAACTTCTGCTCGTAGTATCGGTCTGCATACCCATCCTCCCAAAGCCGTACAGTGTCCGGTGGCATTTCATCTTCTTTGGGCTTTTCTAGAACTGCTTCTGTGTCTTCTTCGGCTTCAGTGTCTGGATTCGAGTTTTCAAATACATCTGATTTTCGCTTTTTTCTGAGCGATGAACCAGCCGGCTCAGTAACATCCTCGGAGTCAGCATTGTCTTCTGCCGTTCCGCCGGACAGAAGCTGAGCCTTGAGAGCCGCAGCAGCGCTTTTGTTCGCCATGTTGGCCTTATAGACGGCGCCGCGGTTGACAACCATGGAGTGTGTCAGCTCTCTCTCAGCTCTGGTTAGCTCACCTTTGCCTGGGACAACAAGGGGTGGGATGTCTGGTGCTGGCTCAGCGCCGTGGGAACCTCTGCGCCTCTTGCGTGCATGCTCATGGTTGTTGTTTTTGCGCTGGCGGTCTTCCTCCTGGCGCCGTTTGGCATTGGCATTCCTCCTCTCCTCCGTCTGTCGCCGGCGGCGAAATATAGCATCTTCTTGTTTTGCCAGCCCTTGCAAAATCAACTGCGCTTTTGCCAAGTCAACACGGCCATCTTTTGTTAGGTAGCCACCCATTTGTGGGATATTATCGCGCCATATTGCAATAAGTGTGTCTATGCCATTTTCCCGGATCTCCAGCGATGGAAGATGAGGCAAGAAATCGTTACCAACGAAAAAGCACATAAAAACCCAGTCATCCAGAGCTCGCTCAAGGTCAAATGGAAATGGTTGTTGAGGGACCTGCATTTCTACAGCCAGATACTCACGAAGTATCGAAACATGAAGCCAGATGAACGGTTTCAGGGGACTCCCTTTTTGTTTCTCGTCAAACTCCCCTTGCTTCTCCTTTGCTTTCCCTGTACAGGCTTCCTCAACGTGGCCTGCTTGCCCACACAGCTTGCAGGTCCTTGCTTTTGACTCCTGGAAAAATACGTCTTCTCGCAAGACACGGAAGTGCGGCTCATGAGTACCGAGTCCCAACATGATCAAATCGGCATCCTAATAACCACGGTTAGCCAACTAGACGTCTAATCTAGAAGTATAAATGTTGGTGTCACTAACCAAACCGTATATTACGTGTCGAGTATTGGGATCATACTCTGGGCAAGCACGCTGAGAACGAATAAACTCCATGATTTTATGTTCTCCTTCACCCGGAACGGTGGCATCAGAGATGATAACTTTTAACTAAAAGATGAGTGTCAGAACGGCTATTCAACCAGATTTGATAAGATTGGGTTTGAACTTACCTTTTCCCAACCAGGATCGGTGCTTAACTTATACGCGACCCAATATCGCAACGCCAGGGCGAGAATATCCATAAATGGGGTACCTGGTGTGATGACATTGGTATCCCAGGTTTTCGTGATCACCTCTTCCGCGATAGTCACATCCGTTTTACCACGCTTCTGCTTCTTGAGCAACCTTGCGAACTCCACCTTCTTCTCGTCCTCAGCCTTTGCGTCCTGCGCGGATCGGAATCGACGGGATCGTTGCTGGTTCATCTTTGCGCGGGGAGCAACGCCATCTAAATAAGTAAATAGTAATTAGTATCGATTATACAGCGCAAAACGACATCATTTTTACGGGGAAAGAGAATGAAAGGCAGTAACTCCCCTTGGCGACTATGAACACATCATGCATATATAATGTAGCCGTCCGAGGGGAGACCTCTAAATTCCCCGCAGCCGGAAACCCGACATACCAACAGCAATCATCAACACCTTCCTGGGCCTGACCATGTTGACCACTCTGTCCGTATACTTGAAGATCTCCAGCATCATCTCGCCCTCGTTTGCTGGTGGAGGTTTGCCCTCTGGATGTGTGCACGGATGGACGATACCGTTCATATCCAGGTAGAGATTGTCCATTTCCTCGCCATTTGGATTCGGCTTCGTCGTATCAACCGGTATTTCCTGCCCATCTATCTCCTGCGGCTGCTCTTCAACGACGGCGGAAACGATCTTTGGATACTTGGATGAGAGCCATCGGAAGAGGGCTGGGACACCCATCGCGACGACGTGCCGTGCTGGAGCAAATATGAGAAAACAAATCCGCCCTCTTGCCTTTCGCTTTTCTTGCGCTGAAGGCTGACACCAGCAAGCAAGTTATCAGAAGCGTGTCGACTGCTTCTCTTCTTCTTCTTCCTCTTCTTCCTCTTCTTCGCGACTTTTTCGGCTTTTTTGCTTCATCAAAAAAAAAGGTATTTTCCGAAACTTTAATCTTTATCACGTGATATGTCGAGTAGCTGGAGGACATTTTATATTTACAGCGAGACAACATAAAATATTAATATAGAAAAGGGACGAGTTTCGAGGGTCTGGATATATTCCAGCTTGCTGTGGGTTTCTTCTGATTTGGACTATATATTTGGACCTACATGAGCATGTGTGGCATCATTGACTCGCGGTGATGGTGCTGTCTCGGTTCCATAGCTCACGATGTTTCGTATCCTCGAATCCCAAGCTCCGGCCCGGCAGACAGCGACAGACACGATAAATACGCTGAGCAGTCGTCTGCAGAGCTCGACACTGCTGGAAGATCGCCGGGCAGCGATACTTGGGCTCCGAAGCTTCGCAAAGGGATATCCTGCGTCTGTTGCGTCGGAGGCATTGAGGCCACTAATCACTTCCCTCCGTAACGATGTGGAAGACGTCGACACCATCAAGCCGGTCCTGGAGACTCTGCTGATGCTCTTTTCCCCGGAAGAAAATAGTGTGGGTTGCAGGCTTCGTCGAGGGTGTTTTGGACTTAATTACTTAAGAAAGAGGCTAATTGCTGCCATGAAATAGCCAGAAGCATCGGATGAGCTAGCACTTTGGCTAGCTGACGAATTTACTCAGGTGCGTCAATTCTTATATTCGACTAGAAAACAGGTATTAACAAGATAGTGGAATAGAGACAAGACAATATCACAATCCTACTCGACCTCCTGGACACAAAGGAATTCTACTCCAGGCTCTACTCCCTCCAGCTAATTTCTCAGATATCCGCCGCCCGTCCAGAGAGGACCCAGGAATGCATACTGACGGCTCCATTGGGCATATCGAGGATTGTTGCTGTATTAAGTGACTCAAGAGAGCCAGCCCGTAATGGTACGAACAAGCCTGGTATTACCCTTGAAACCACGGGTAGCTACTAACTTTGACCCATATAGAAGCTCTTCTTCTCCTCATCGCACTTACAGTCTCTTCCGCCGAATTGCAAAAGGTAGTTGCATTTGAAAATGCTTTTGACCGGATATTCTCGTTGATAGAAGCGGAGGGATCATTGAAACATGGATCCCGGATAGTAGAGGATTGCTTGGCTCTCTTGGGTAACCTTTTGCAGTTAAACCCCTCCAACCAGTCATTTTTTCGAGAGACTGGTTGTGTGAGGAAGCTTGTGATGCTTCTGGATGATGCAATTAAGGACCCTAAGCCTGACGAAGAATTCCCACACTGGATGTTGGAGCAGCGCAATAAGAATATATGGGGAATTCTTGCCATCATCCAGCTATTTCTTGTAAAACGGGGAATCAGCACTCCGGTAAACCAAACGACTTTCTGGCAAAGTGGCACAATGCAACAGCTGCTAAGAGCAGCATTTAAAGAAGACTTTGACGTTTCTCTCAAAGCCAAGGTTGGCCCCTCTCAATCTTAGAGAGTATGTCCCGTATATTCTGCTAACATTTAAGAAAAAGGCCCTCCTCGCGGCTTCAGACTTGATCTGTTCAAATGCAACACTTCAGGAGAAATTTTCAGACCTCGAGGTTGCCATAACATCTACACCTTCTGACCAAAAATCGGTCAATGGGAGCCCACCAGCTCAGAACGTTGAGAGGCTTAACGTTCTAGAAGCATTGCTGCGTTTGACCTTGCAGCAAGGTCCAATTCACCTTCTAGATGCACGTCTCGCATCATGCGATTGCATCCAGGCATTTTTTACAAACCATTCAGGGATCAAGCTTCACTTCCTGAACAGGGCAATAAGTGGCCACACAGGCGGCGGTGACGAAATTCCAAATATTCTATCTATCCTTATCCAGCCATTGGATTTTGACACTGTGAATGATCCTTATCAACTATGGCTAGCCTCCGTCTTATTATTCCATCTGATATACGAAGACCCTGAAGCTAAGGCTGCCGCAATGAAGGTTACCGAGGGCGATGCAGAGAGTGGAGAGGAGGTAGTTACGTGTGTGCAGGCAATAACCGGTAATTTGATTACGGGGATCCAACGAAATGACGACGAAAGGATATCGGTTGGTTATTTGACGTTACTCTGCGGTTGGCTGTTTGAAGATCCAGACGTGGTTAATGACTTCTTGGGTGAAGGAAGCAGTGTTCAAAGTCTAATCCAGGAGGCTAAACAGGAGGCTTCCCCCGACTCACTGCTTCCAGGGTTATGTGCTGTCCTCCTTGGAATCATCTACGAGTTCTCGACGAAGGACTCCCCCATCCCACGATCGACTCTTCACCAATTACTAAATAGTAGATTGGGAAGAGAACTTTACATTGATAAAATCACAAAACTTCGAGAGCATCCACTAGTCCGCGATTTCGAGGTTCTGCCGCAAACCGCTCAGGGACAACAAGACGCGGGACATCCAAACATCTTCTTTAAGAAGACATTTATTGACTTTCTAAAGGACAACTTTAGTCGATTAATTCGGGCTATCGACCGTGATCCAGGGATGGAAGTGCCTGTAATGGCCAACGGCATTCCTAAGGGGATATCACGCGAGCTAGTTGACAATCTGAGGGCCCAAGCTGAAGAGCGAGCGCAGGCGATTCAGAACCTAGAGTCGGAGATGTTGGATCTGCAACGCAAGTTAGATCAGGAACATTTGGATCACAAGAGAACGAAAGATTCCAGCGATCGTGAGCTACAGAGGCTGAACCAGGTCAATGAATCTCTGCAGAAGACACACCAGGCCGAAATAACCGGATTGGAAGAGCATAATGCGTTGACAAAGAGTGAACTTGTCAAGCAATATGGCGAGCAGTTACACGCTCTCGATAATCAACTAAAGCAAACTGCCACAGAACATGAAAGGCGAACTACCAAACTTCGAGATATGCACGAAGCCGAAGTAACTGAGCTGAAGCAATCAGTGCAAAAACTAGAGGCGAGCCTTGAAAAAGCCAACAAAGATCACATTCAGGATCTCCAAACTGCTCATGAGGAGTATTCGGCCAAACTGTCTGATCTAGAAGCTAAGAATCGACGAGTGGAGGCAAAAGTACAGGAGACACAGGAACACAACCAGACGCTAGAGAGGGATTTGAAGGAAGCTCGAAAACGGGCAGAGAAGCTACAAAAGGAAAATGAAGAGAGCGAGACTGCCCGTAAATCTGCACAGAGCGAACTGGAAGATTTGTTGATGGTGTTCAGTGACCTTGAGGCGAAGAGGAGAGCAGACAAAGTAAGTCGTCTCACAGTCTCCCCTTGTCGAATTCCGCTAACATCGAGTGTAGAAACGCCTAAAGGCTCTGGGTGAAGAAGTATCTGACATCGATGAGACCGACGATGAAGACGATGAGGACGAAGATGAGTCGGAAGCTGACGAGGAATGAGAATATATCTAATGCTCCTTCATTTAATCCTTCTAGAGAGCATTTGGTAGTGGTCCATATCGCAACATGAGTGACGAAATATTATATATATATCTCTTAACCATCGGCATCTATCTTCTCCGTAGAATACCCTTGACTGTTCACTATGTCATTCGTATAATATTAACCATATACGAGTCTGCATATCTGTGTGGCCGTAGGTAGTATAAAAGGGGCTGTGATCTTACTATGTAGTCATATTATCGCTGACTCACACATTTATCGGCTTTAAATACTTTGCCCGCTTCCTCCCCACATACCACAACGCAACAGTTACAACATCTTCAAGACGCCATGTCTATCGACTTTCCAAAGGAAGAGGAGGCCATCCTCAAACGATGGAAGGAGATCGGAGCATTTGAACGCCAGGTAGAATTATCCCGGGGCAAAAAAGAATACACCTTCTATGATGGCCCGCCATTTGCGACCGGATTACCCCACTACGGGCATTTGCTTGCTTCCACCATAAAGGACATCATTCCTCGATACTGGTCTATGAAGGGCTATCATGTCGAGCGCAGATTTGGCTGGGATACGCACGGCGTTCCAATCGAATATGAAATCGACAAGATGCTAGGGATGTCGGGTTCTGAGGCCGTTCAAAAGATTGGTCTTGCGGCCTACAACGCCGAATGCAAAGCCATTGTCATGAGATTTTCTACAGAGTGGAGGCAGACTATCGATAGACTTGGGCGTTGGATTGATTTTGATAACGATTATAAGGTAGGATACCTTCTTTGGTTCGATCGGTAGCTTCCAGTGGGAGATGGAGAGTCGACATGCTAACTTGTGTGCGCGTAGACGATGGACACCACTTTTATGGAGTCAATCTGGTGGATATTGAAACAACTATTCGAGAAAGGTGCTGTATACCGTGGATATAGAGTCATGCCCTACTCGACCGCACTTAACACTCCATTGAGTAATTTCGAGGCCCAGCAAAACTATAAAGACGTCCAAGATCCCGCCGTTGTCGTTTCTTTCCCTCTGCTCGACGATCCTCAGACATGTCTGCTTGCTTGGACGACCACACCCTGGACTCTTCCATCCCATACAGGCCTCGCGGTGCATCCCGACTTCGAATATATCAGGATTCACGATGAGGCGTCTGGGAAGAACTATTATCTTTTGGAAGCGTTACTGGGAACCCTGTACAAAAACCCTAAGAAGGCAAAGTTCAAGATACTCGAACGTGTCAAGGGATCCCGATAATGGAAGATGGAATATGAGCCCTCTCTTCGATTACTTTT